GAGGCCGTACTCAAACATTTTGAAGTAGAGAGTGACCCATCCCTCTGGAGGGTTGTCAGCTCTCTCCCCCTCCTCCGGAATCCTAAGGAGGATGTTCTTAGGGATAGCGAACCCCCTACGAAGGGATCCGAGGTAGTGCTCAGGTATCCTAGAAGGGTATTCCAAACCCTGACCCGAGGTGGATGCATCACTATCCTCCCCGTCATCGGAGACCCTAAAGTTTTCTATCTCCTCGAGCTCGGACTCTAACCTACGAGCTAAATCCTCATCGGACCCTAAGTCGCTGCTAAAAGAGGACGACATGACAACAACGTTCGAAAGAGAAAGTGAGGGAAGAGACCGACCTACCAAGGGTTCGAGCTGCCTTCAGATCGAACTCCAAGAATTCAGGAAACGTAAGGTATGACCTGAAGGATTGGGGGTATTTATAGCTCGTCGGAAAAGTTTCCCCACCGTACACGTGTAATCAACGAGCGGCTAGGATCCTCCCGAAGATCCGAAGCGTCGGAATATTTGAATATTCCGACGATAAATCCACCGCAACGGTTATATTTTCCCACGAATAGGAAGTCGCCACGCGTCCAAAGCAAGTCGAATGAACTTCTCTGCCAGGTCGAGATCGGACCAGACAGAGAGGGGGCCAATGTTCGGGGAAGAGAATACCCTGGACACGTGGAGGACCCCTATTAGTGCTCCAAGATGACTCATGAGTCATGACCAGCTCGGGCCGCCGAGATCACCACCACTAGCGTTGACAGATGCAAAGTATGAGGGCCGAGGTGAACCTGGTCGAGGTCCGATCTACCGGGAAGCTCGGTGGGGGCCGAGGTGAGCTACTATCAGCGGCGTGATTATCGGGTGTAACCGTCGGTCCCGAGATTACCAGGTGTAACCGATGGTCCCGAGATTACTGGGTGTAACCATCGCGAGATTAGCGGGACTACCACCCATAAGTAGAGGACCTCACTCCACGATCAGGTACGATGATTTCTGACCTCGAACTAAACTGGGAATCCGACCTATACTGACTTGATYRTCGGAGTGCTCACCTTTTTGTGCAGGTCCGCCCAAGTATTCAGATCGGTCCGGAGGCCGAGTTCGAGCTGCAATCTGAAATACACTGTTGTGCATATCCTTGCATAAACAAAACTTTTCTTTTGTTGACTTATGTAACTATTTGTGATTAAGAGTTATTGACATGGTAGTAGGAAGACATTTGAATGATAATATAACAAAAATTGTATTATACATTTAAAGGTACTTACCAAGTAGAAAACAATTAATTTAAACTTTGATGATAAATAAGTAAATAAATAATTCAATTATATTCAAGTAATTAAGAATAATTATAATGTGTAAATAGTACATAACGCCAATTTGTTGTTGTGCAATAAATGTGGTCAAGGTCCACCTTGTCAAGGAGGGCTGAGTGGGCGAGTTGAGTGGTCCATAATGAGTTGGAAAGTTGCCTGACAAGAAAAGACCTGCACAAAGAAACAAAAATTTCGATGTTCAAGTTAGTGTTAAGTTCGACCTTGGTATTGATACTAATCTAGAATGCGATACTTGACTGCAGGGTAAGATCCCATATTTATAGGTTTGAGTTTCAAACAGAGAATCCGACTAATATTTAGGTGCGTCGGACGAGCATTATCTGGATAGGTAGACTTTTAGTATTCTTTTCTCTTCAAAAAATGCCCAAGTATTGTAGGTAGTTGCTATAGGGGAACGAGCATCTAGAACTGACTTGGTGGTACGTCACTCTAGGGAAAAGATCTCTGTCCTCCACGTGTTTAGAAAATCAATTCAAACCAAGAATAAAATATTTTATTCCTTTTCATACAGGGAAAAGGTCTTTTCGAATTTTGATTTAGTTTGGGCTTTTTTTTCTTTCCATTTAATTTTCTTCATATCATCTCTTATAAATAGAAATAGACGAGCCATTTGATTAGTGAGCATAAATAGAGAGTTGTGAGAAATTCTCCAAGGAGAAAGAGTTTGAGAGCTTAATAATTGTGTATCAATTAGAGAGTTTGAACAAATTGTAGGGTGATTTCATGAGCGTTTTCTGTGTGAGGGAAAACTAAGAGAAATCATTGTAAATGGCTTGTAAAATATTGGGAGATTCTTTCCGACCTTTTAGTAGAATCTCCAAGGATAGCATAGAACTAGATGTAGCCCACATTGGGTGAACTAGTATAAATCCAACATTTAATTTTCTTCTCCCTAATCTTTATTTATTGTTCTTGTTATTTAGAAGTTTTAGATTGATTTATCTATTTTTTTAAGTTTTAAGTTCTAATTTGAAATTTGAATTTCACAATAATTGGAACCAAACCTGATCTAGGATTAACTAAAAAATATTATCAGTATTTATGATTATAAGCTAATACATGTATACAACATAAGCTAATAGGCTGCAAGTACTTAATTTCACTACAACAAATTTTACTTTTAATAACAATTTAAAAAATTTTTGCGGAGAAACAATGACTGACAAAGAAAAAAATACATTGGGTCTTTTCTTTTTTAGGAGAAAAAAAAGTAAAACAACTAAAGACAGTTAAATCAACTAGGGATACAATTATGCCAAAATACACTTTCCCTTTTTCTCACGGGATCTTTTTGAAACTGTGTGAGCACATAAATTGACCCTTCTATCCACTTTAGCAAAAGAGATAACCCCGCAGAGAGTTATTAGGCTTTTGATTTCTTCCACAATCCACCAGATTTCTGTTAAGTCTTCGTCCTCATCACGCAAAAGCTTGGCAAGTTCCTCTGAATCGGTTTCCACTCGATGAGGAAGAGAAGGCGCACGCGACAACTGATGACGAAGGCCTTCCAACACTGCTTCTGCCTCCAATCTCTTCACTCCCTGGCAAGACTCCACCATTTTACAGCCTGCAGAAACGACGTCGCCCCTCCAATTTCTCAGTACCCATCCCAGGCCTCCCAGTTGGTGTGTCTCTGACCAAGAAGCATCTGTATTATGCGTCCAATAAATGTTGGAGGAGGAACCCATTTCAGGTTCGTCTCTGAATTTCTTCTGGGATTAATTGAAGTAATGGCATCTTTAATAGTTGACCGTGCTGGATTATCGTTGTGATGTCTGTTGAAATGTTCTGATAAAAAATTTGTGGCCTGCTGAATCAACACCGTAGAACTAGGGCTTCCTCGCTTAAAAATCACATTATTTCGGAAATTCCAGATGTTAGGAGCAACAGATGTTTAATTTTCACAATCCTCGAGCAAGCTATCTTAATTTTAGGAGCAACAGATGTTTTCCAAAACCGATAACAAGGCTTGGACTGGTGCTCTGAGTTAGAAGAATTTGTTTCTTGAACATTGGCCATTTGTATACCCAAATGGTAGGCACTTCTAATAGAGAAAACACTTTTTTTGTCCCTTCCCCATATAACTGTATCATCCCTATCGTTTTTAGGAAGAGGGATTTGCAAAACTTGGTCCGCTTCCGAAGCAATGAAGCTACTCCGAACCTTCTCCTCATCCCATCTACCTCTATCAGCTAATAACCATGCAACCGGACGATCCCTCACATGATTGGAGGTAAAAACAGGTTTAAAAGGGCCACTCTAGGAATCCAAAGGTCTACATCAAGTGTAATGCTATGACTGTTGCCCACTCTCCACCGATACCCTTTCTCAAATAGCTCCCGCCCGCAAAGATTACTTCTCCAAGCATAAGATGGATTAAGACCCAGCTTAGCCTTCGGGAAGGACCCGGTCTTGAAATATTTCCCTCGAAGGATTCTTGCCATGAGGCTATTCGATTGTTTCAATATCCTCCAGCTCTGCTTAGCTAATATAGCCTGATTCAAAATATTAATATCCCTAAAACTCATTTCTCCTTGATCCTTCCGAGTGCACAGTCTTTTCCAACTATGCCAATGAATTTTCCGGTTTTTAGGGGTCGAGCCCCACCAAAACCAAGCATAAATACTGTGAATGTCATGACAAAGAGTGGCCGGAAGTTGAAAACAACTGAGGGTATAGTAAGGGATGGCCTAAACAATCGCCTTAATGAGGACCTCTTTTCCGCCCATTGAAAAAAACCTTCCTTTCCAACCCTGAAGAGCCTTCCAAATTGTTTCTTTCAAAGCGTCGAAAACTTGTCACCTATTCCTATTAATCTGCGATGGTAAGCCTGTTAGCTTTATGGCTTCAATCAAACCAAATATTTTGATGATCATAAACTAAGTATAAAGTAACAATTTGAGTGTTTCAAAGTGTCCATAGCGTAGAGCTCGAAAAGACAAAACCAATGTCTGTCAAATCACTCAAATCGGAATTTAAACGAAAAAGTTATGGTCAAAACAAGTTACGAGAAAACTTATACGTGGTGGGTGACGTGGACAAATGGACAAATCCTACATGGTGGGTGACATGGACAAGTGAACCGCTTAGAAGTTAACATGTGACATTAAGAGGAAATACTTATGCTGACGTGGCATACAACAATCGAACAAATGAGAAGATGACATGTGGCGCTTTCAATCTCTACAAATCCATTTCCACCAATTTCTCTCAATCTCCTCGATCACTCACAATGTCAAGGATTTCTCAATCTCCACCAATTTCTTTTAATCACCATAATTATGTTTTCATTTCATTTCCTTACCTCACATCTTAATCTATACCATTCATCATTTGTTGCCCTAAATCCAATGGCCAAAATTCATCATTGAAACTCTATTTAAAGCCACCAAATTCCATCATTCTACACACCAACTATCAAAGCAAAATCATTTGTTTTCAAATTCTCCTCTCAACTTTTGCAAAATCTTCATTCTCTCCTACACATAACTTGCTCATTTTTTTGTGAGAGATTCATTAGAGTGTGGCTTTTTAGCCATTACTTTGGTGTAAAATTTGTGTAATCTACTTTGTTTTTGAACTCTTTATTTTCAAATTGGGTTTTGTATTAAGGTGTGGGTACACCTTGGGTTGTGAGAAAAGTAAATTGGTTGGATCCTGAACCAGTAAAAAGGATTTTGGGTTTCTCTTTAGCCTAGGACAAAAAAAGGATCGATCGGTTTGGTTCTCACCCGTTAAGAGGGCCATTGCAGTAAAATACCCAAGAAGGAGTCTTAGAGAGTAGAGTAGGAATTTCCGAACCACTATAAAAATTCTCGGTGTCACCACTCTCTTCTCTTCTCTATTTTAATTTCAATATTTATCCACTTTGAATCTTGGTAGATTGCATATAGGTTTACTTAAATATTTTGTTCAATATTTCCTCTTCTTGTTAATCTTTTTTTATTGATTGCATAATTGTTCGTTACCTTGAATTTATTTTTAATTTTTAAAAAAGTGGTAAGCAACCCTATTCACCCCTCTCTAGTGTTGCCATTCGATCCTACAATGGGTATCAGAGTGGGTAGCTCATTTTTTTTTTAAAATGTTTCATTTCTGAAAATTCCATCTTTTTCCAAAACTATTTATTATTTTTTTAAATCTGAAAATTTCTTTATTATTGAAGAAGAGTTTGAAAAATCGAGTTTTTGAGCCGATTTTACTAGAAATTAATTTTCCTCAAAAATTGACTTTTAAAAACTATTTTTTTTCTTCACTCTTGGAAATTTATTTTGTTTAGAGTAAATCTTTGAAATATTTTTGAAATTTAATATCTTTGAAATTTAACCGTTGTTGATTCTAAATTTATTTTCTTTGAAACTTTTCGTAAAACTTAATTGTTTGAGCTTATGGCAAACATTGGGGTTAATGGATTTAGTGAGGGTCATTCTACCACTAGACCACCTCTTTTTGATGGAAATAATTATACTTGGTGGAAAACTAGGATGAGAATTTATTTGATTTCAATTGATTATAACTTGTGGGAAACTTTATTTCTATTAAGAAAATTGAGAATGTTGATGTAGCAAAAAATGAAAATGAGTTTAATGATGACGATAAAAGAAAAATATCGATTAATGCTAAAGCCATGAATTGTATGTTTTGTGCTTTATGTGCTGATGAATTTAATTGAGTATCTGCATGTAACTCTGCTAAAGAAATATGAGATATGCTTGAAGTAACTCATGAAGGAACAAATCAAGTAAAAGAGTCGAAAATTAGCATGCTTGTTCATAATTATGAATTGTTTAAAATGGATGCTAACGAGTCTATTACTGAGATGTTTACTAGATTTACGAATATTGTTAATGCTTTGAAAGGTTTAGGAAAGGAATATACTACAGCTGAGAACGTGAGGAAGATTCTAAGATCTCTACCAAAAAGTTGGGAACCGAAAGTGACAGCAATTCAAGAAGCGAAAGATCTCTCAAAACTTCCATTGGAGGAGCTCATTGGATCTCTCATGACGCATGAGATAGTCATGAAAGGTAATATGGAAGAGGACGTCAAAAAGAAGAAAAGCTTGGCATTAAAGTCTACATCCTTCCAAAGGGCTTCTGAAAGTGAGGAAGAACTAAACGAGGAAGAACTTGCCTACTTATCCAAGAAGTTCAAGAAGCATTTCAAGAAGAGACACTTTCCAAAGAAAACCAACAGTCAAGATGCTAAAGGAGAAAAGAACACTAGAGACATCATCATCTGCTACGAGTGCAAAAAGGCTGGACATGTAAGATCTGAATGCCCTCTACTACGTAAATCATCTTCAAGGAGAAACAAGAAGGCTATGAAAGCTACTTGGGATGAAAGTGATGGAGGAAGTGATTCTGAAAGTGGAGAGGAAGTAGCTAATCTTTGTTTCATGGCTTTTGGAGATGAAGATGACGACGAAGAGGTATGTTTTGAAAATCCTTCTTTTGATGAGCTTATGGATGCTTACAACGAGATTAAAGAAGAATTTGAAAAATTAGGTAGTAAATATTTAGCTCTTAAAAAGAAGAATACCAAGCTAGCTCATGAGAACCATGATTTATTAGCTAAGCATGATAGGATAAATAAAGAAAATGAGATGTTTAGAAAAGATCTTGTTATTTCTAAGTCAAATTTGCATGCTTTGAAAGAGGCGTATAAATTATTAGAAGTGAAAAATAAAGATATATCATCTACTCTTTTAAAGTTTACAAACGGTAAAAAGAACTTAGACATGATGATGGGAAAACAACAAGCTATCTTTGATAAAAGTGATTTAGGCTATAAACCTCATCAAAAACAAAAGAAATTTGTAAACTACTTTGTTAAAGAAACCTCAATGTCTACTACTGTTTGCAATGCATGCGGAAAACTTGGTTATAAACTTTATGCTTGTAACTTGAAGAAAAATGGTGCATTAAATGAAAAGATATGGATTCCTAAATTTTTGCTTACTAACCCTCAAGGACCCAAACAAGCTTGGGTACCTAAAGTTACATCTTGAGTATCATCTTTCTTCTAGGTATGTTTGAGATCAATAAAGAACAAGTGGTACTTGGATAGTGGATATTCAAAGCACATGACCGGAGACCACACAAAATTCACGCACCTAGAAATGAAAGATGGATGATATGTTACCTTTGGCGATAATAAAAAAGGCAAAATCATTGGCAAATGTAATAGGTAATGGTTCAAAATTTATGATTGAGAATGTGTTGCTTGTTGATGGCTTAAAACATGATCTTTTAAGTATTAGTCAATTATGTGATAAAGGTTATAAAGTAGTATTTAATGATAAAAATTGCATAATTGAAAATGCTTGTGATGGACAAAAGTTGTTTGTAGGAAATAGAGATAAAAATGTTTATACTATTGAATTGAATGACTGCCCAGTTGTTAATAAATGTTTGTCTACTATGCATGATGATTCTTGGTTGTGGCATAGAAGATTAGGTCATGTTAGCATGTATCTGATTTCAAATATTTCCAAGAAATATCTTGTTCGAGGTCTTCCAAAATTAAATTTTGAAAAAGACAAAGTTTGAGATGCATGTCAAATGGGTAAACAAACTAAGTCATCCTATAAAGTAAAGAAAATGATTTCTACTTCTAGGCTTTTGCAATTATTACATATGGATCTATTCGGACCTACTAGAGTTGCAAGTCTAATTGGAAAACATTATGCTTTTGTTATAGTTGATGATTTTTCAAGGTTTACTTGGGTTTTATTTTTATCTCATAAGGATGAGACCATAAAAGCATTTATTAGTTTTTCAAAGAAAATTCAAAATGAAAAAGGTTTTATGATTTGAAAAATTAGAAGTGATTATGGAGGAGAATTTGACAATGTAGCTTTTGAAAAATTTTGTGATGAAAATAGTTTTTCTCATGATTTTTCTTCTCGAAGAACACCACAACAAAATGGTGTTGTAGAAAGGAAAAATCACTCTTTGCAAGAATTAGCTACTTCTTTGTTAAATTAGTATAACTTACCAAAATATTTTTCGGCTGAAGCTGTTAATATTGCCTCAGTGATGAACCGTGTTTTAATAAGGCCAATTTTGAATAAACCCCTTATGAGCTTTTTAATGATAAAATTCCTAATATCAGTTATTTCAAAGTTTTTGGTTGCAAATGTTTTATTTTGAAAAATAAAGAGAAACTTGGAAAGTTTGAGTCAAAAACTGATATTGGCATATTCTTAGGATATTCAGAATGTAGTAAAGCATATAGAGTTTTTAATAAAAGAACCCTTGTAGTTGAAGAGTCAATTGATGTTGTTTTTGATGAATCTCATATTACTGCTAATCAAGTTTCAGCTAGTGATGAGTTAGAAATGCCTTTTGAGAATTTGAACTTTAAAGATAATAACTCGGAAGCTGTAGTAAATCAGACTCAACAAGAGCCAGAGGAAACCCTTCTTAAGGATTGGAGTTTCTCAATTCACCATCCGAAAGAGTTAATTATAGGTGATGTATCCCAAGGGGTAAGAACTCGATCTTCTTTAAATGCATTAAATAATGTTGCTTTTGTATCTCAAATTGAACCAAAGTCTTTTAAAGAAGCTGAAGTTGATGAATTCTGGTTAATTGCTATGCAAGATGAGTTAAATCAGTTTGAAAGAAACAATGTTTGAGAATTAGTCCCACGTCCTAATGATCATCCTGTTATTGGTACTAAATGGGTTTTTAGAAATAAAATGGATGAGTCTGGTAATATTGTTAGAAATAAAGCTAGGCTAGTTGCACAAGGATATAGTCAGGAAGAAGGAATAGATTATGAGGAAACTTTTGCTCCTGTTGCTAGACTTGAATCAATTAGAATGTTGCTTGCGTTTGCATCTCATAAGAACTTTAATTTATATCAAATGGATGTTAAAAGTGCTTTCTTAAATCGTTTTATAATGGAAGAAGTATATGTTGAACAACCTCCTAGTTTTGAAAGTGTTGAAAATCCAAATCATGTTTATAAATTAAAGAAAGATCTTTATGGTCTTAAACAAGCTCCTAGAGCTTGGTATGACCGTTTGAGTAAATTTTTGCTTGAACAAGGTTTTAAAATGAGACTTATTGTCAATACATTTTTTATTAAAACCAAAGAAAATGATATTTTGTTAGTGCAAATTTATGTCGATGACATTATTTTTGGTGCTACTAACACTTCATTATGTGAAGAATTCTCTAAGTGTATGCACAGTGAGTTTGAGATGAGCATGATGGGAGAACTCAAGTTCTTCATTGGGCTTCAAATCAAACAACTTAAAGAGGGAATCTTCATCAATCAAGAAAAATATACAAGAGATCTGCTCAAGAGGTTCAAGTTCGATAACGCCAAAATAGCAAAGACTCCAATGAGCACTACTACAAAGCTTGACAAAGATGAAAAAGGTAAAAATTTAGATATAAAAGCTTATAGAGGTATGATCAGATCCTTGCTTTACTTAACTGCAAGTAGACCGGATATTATGTTCAGTGTATGCATGTGTGCTAGATTTCAATCATGTCCTAGAGAATCACACTTTCATGCTATTAAAAGAATTTTTAAATACTTGCTTGGAACTGTTGAATTGGGTTTATAGTATCCTAAGAATGCATCTCTTGATTTAATTGCTTATTTTGATGTTGATTTTGCTGGTAGTTTAACTGATAGGAAGAGTACTAGTGGAACTTGCCAGTTTTTTGGTAGCTCTTTAGTGTCTTGGTTTAGTAAAAAGCAAAATTCTGTTGCATTATCTACTACTGAGGTTGAATATATTGTTGCTGCTAGTTGTTGCTCTCAAGTTTTATGGATGAAACAAACATTACGTGATTTTGGTTTAAATTTTGAACATATTCCAATCTTTTGTGATAATACTAGTTCAATTAATTTAACCAAGAATCTCATTCAGCATTCTAGGACAAAACATATAGATATCCGACATCATTTTCTTAGAGAACATGTGCAAAATGGAAATATTGTACTTAATTATGTTCGCACCGAAAAACAAGTAGCAGATATTCTTACTAAACCATTAAATGAAGAAGCGTTTTGTAGGAATAGACTTGCACTTGGCATCATTCGCATTTAATTGTCTAAACGTATTTGTTAGGGAGAGAATTTTTCTGTATGTATGATTGAGGGGGAGAATTTTTTACCATGCAATAATTATCTTATTAAGGGGGAGCTGAATTTCGTGGGAATTTTCTTGATAATAACAAAAGGGGGAGAATATAGCCACTTTGAGAATGTGTTTTCTTGAGTGGTTTGTCGTCATAAAAAAGGGGGAGATTGTTAGCTTTATGGCTTCAATCAAACCAAATATTTTGATGATCACAAACCAAGTATAAACTAACAATTTGAGTGTTTCAAAGTGTCCATAGCGTAGAGCTCGAAAAGACAAAACCAATGCCTATCAAATCACTCAAATCGGAGTTTAAACGAAAAAGTTATGGTCAAAACAAGTTTGGAGAAAAATTATACGTGACGGGTGACATGAACAAATGGACAAATCCTACATGGTGGGTGACATGGACAAGTGAACCACTTAGAAGTTAACATGTGGCATCAAGAGGAAATACTTATGCTGACGTGGCATACAATAATCGAACAAATGAGAAGATGACATGTGGCGCTTTCAATCTCTACAAATCCATTTCCACCAATTTCTCTCAATCTCCTCAATCACTCACAATGTCAATGATTTCTCAATCTCCACCAATTTCTTTTAATCACCATACTGATGTTTTCATTTCATTTCCTTACCTCATATCTTAATCTATACCATTCATCATTTGTTGCCCTAAATCCAATGACCAAAATTCATCATAGAAACTCTATTTAAAGCCACCAAATTCCATCATTCTACACACCAACTATCAAAGCAAAATCATTTGTTTTCAAATTCTCCTCTCAACTTTTGCAAAATCTTCATTCTCTCCTATACATAACTTGCTCATTTTTTTGTGAGAGATTCATTAGAGTGTGACTTTTTAGCCATTACTTTGGTGTAAAATTTGTGTAATCCACTTTGTTTTTGAACTCTTTATTTTCAAATTGGGTTTTGTATTAAGGTGTGGGTACACCTTGGGTTGTGAGAAAAGTAAATTGGTTGGATCCTGAAGCAGTAAAAAGGATTTTGGGTTTCTCTTTAGCCTAGGACAAAAAGAGGGTCGATTGGTTTGGTTCTCACCTGTTAAGAGGGCTACTGCAGTAAAATACCCAAGAAGGAGTCTTGGGGAGTGAAGTAGGAATTTCCAAACCACTATAAAAATTCTTGGTGTCACCACTCTCTTCTCTTCTCTCTTTTAATTTCAGTATTTTTCTACTTTGAATCTTGGTAGATTGCATATATATTTACTTAAATATTTTGTTCAATATTTCCTCTTTTTGTTAATCTTCTTTTATTGATTGTATAATTGTTCGTTACCTTGAATTTATTTTTAATTTTTAAAAAAGTGGTAAGCAACCCTATTCACCCCATCTAGTGTTGCCATTCGATCCTACAAGATACTGTCCCAATTGCTTCGTATAAGGGATGTTAAGTTCTTTGTGGATGTGATCAACCATGTCTTGTCTCGTGTTTTTGCTTGCCATAAAAAGAGACTTCTCTAGATTGATAGTTTGCCCGGATGCTAGCTCATAGGATTTGAGCACTCTTTTAATGGTCCCACAATCTTTCTGAGTGGCATTGAAGAAAACTAAACTGTCATATGCAAAAAAATAAATGCGAGAGTGAGGGCAGTATTTATTAATGCGAAAACCACAAAAAATATTTGTCTCCTCTTCCTGCTGGAGAAGAGAGGAAAAACCTTCGGAACATAACAGAAACAGATAAGGAGATAGAGGGTCTCCCTGACAAAGTCCTCTCTCTGGCTTGAAGTATGGCCCTGAGACTCCGTTAATGAGAATCGAGAAATTCATCGATTCCACACAACTCATAATCAATTCAATCCACCTGGAACAGAACCTGATTCTCATCACGACCCCCCTCAAATACCTCCACTCCACTCTATCATACGATTTTAACATATCTAACTTTAAAGCCGCCACCCCAATCTTACCAGTCGATTTGCTTTGGAGAGAGTGAATACATTCAAATCCAATAATTGTGTTGTCTGTGATAAGACGCCCAGGGACAAACGTCGACTGAGA